ATCTTATAATTCTCAGGGTTTGATGTCCAAAATGAATCTTACAGGGCCAGAATCAAGATGTTAGCAGATTTGCACTTCTGTAGACTGCAGGGAAGGATCCATTTCCTTGCCCTTTCCAACTTCTAGAAGCTGTCTGCATTCTTTGGTTCATGATCCTTTTTCCTCCATCTTCGAAGTGCATTGCTCCAACTACTACTTTTTTTTAAAAACAAATGCTCTTAATTTTTGTTTTAATTGATTTATTTTTATTTTATGTATGAGAGTGTTTTGCCTGTATGCATGTAAGTCCACACATTCATGCCCACAGAGGTCAAAAGAGAGTGTCTGATACCCTGGAATTGAAGTTATGGACAGTTGATAGCCTCCATGGAGATGCTGGGAACCCAACCTGGGTCAACTGCAAGAGCAGCCAGTACTCTTAACCTCTAAACCATCTCTCCAGTCCCCTACTTCTGCTTTATAATTTTTATTACATTTACATATTTGTGTGTCTGTGCATATGTGTGCACATATGTGGAAGTCAGGAGACAATTTCAGGAGGCTGTTCTCTCCTTCCTCCATGTGGGTCCTGGGGACTAAACTCAGACTGTCAGCCTTGATGGTCAGCACCTTTACCCCCTGAGCTACCTTCATGGCCCCAACTTCTACTTTTTTGTCTGGCACTTTTCTGATTCCCTTTCACAAGAAGCCTTGTGATTATACTGACTTCAGATAACTCAGGATAATTATCCTATCTCAAGCTTCAATAAGCTCTGAAAATCCCTTTTGCCATGTAAAGTTACACAGACACTGGCGCTAGGAATTAAAATATAGGCATCTGTCGGGCGTGGTGGTGCACACCTTTAATCCCAGCACTCAGGAGGCAGAGGCAGGTGGATCTCTGTGAGTTCAAGGCCAGCCTGGTCTACATAGTGAGTTCCAGGACAGCTGGGGCTACAGGGAGACCCTGTCTCTAAAAGACAAAAAAAAAGACCCCCCGTGTGTGTGTGTGTGTGTGTGTGTGTGCATCTTTGAGTGTCATTACTGTATCTACCACAGGCTCTGTAGTGTGATTCAAATGACAGAGAAGGGGCTGGAGAGATAACTCAGCAGTTAAGAGCACCGGCTGCTCTTGCAAGAGGACCCAGATTCAGTTCCCAGTACCCACATAGTGGCTAACAACCATCTGTAACTCCAGTTCCAGGGGAGTCAATGCCCTCTTCTGGTCTCCACTTGGATTGAATGCACGTGGTACACTTAAAGACCTGCAGGCAAAACACTCATACACGTAAAATAAAAATAAATAAATAAATGAACAAACATTTTTTAATGATGGAGGAAAAGACCAATCAATTTGAAGACAGACTAATAGAAATGATCTAGTATGAACGACAGAGGAAAAATATGGAAAGCTGACGTGAGGCACTGTGGCCTATGAAAAACACTCAGGCTAGTGTTTGTGTTCTTAGTATGCCAAAGGAGAAGAAAGAATGCAGCTCAGAAAACAAAATATTCGAAGAAGTAATAGTTAAATGTCCAGGTTTGATGAAAGTCCTAAGTCTACAAATGCAAAAATCTTGGTGAATCCAAAATAAGGTTAAGTCCAAACTTAGAAACATTAAGCCTCCTAAAAGCTAAAGCCAGAACATGTCTTGAAAGCAGGCATGGAAAAATGATGTAGCACTTACAAAGGAACATCAGTAAAATGGCAGTGGACTTTGTATCAGAAACCAGGAAAGACAGAACATTTAAAAAAAATATTGCTAAGATCATATAATTAAACTTATTCACTTTATTGATGAGAAGCCAGAGGTATAGAAAAATAAAGGGCGGCCGTACAATGCCAACATTACAATTACCTGACTAAAAAAGCCTGACTCTTAAATTTAGGGATTTGGGGGGGTATTTATTTTTTTTATTTTATGTGTATGTGTGTATTGCCTGCATGTAGGTAAGTGCACCCATGTCGTGCAATGCCCACAGAGGATAGAAGAGGCTGTTGGATCCCCTGGAATTGGAGTTACAGACAGTTGTTAGCTGCCATATGGGTGTGGGATTCAAACCCAAGTCTTCTGCAAGAACAACCAGTGTTCTTAACCACTGAGCCATCTCTCCAGCCCCTCATTTAGTATCTTTTTATGCTTAGAGTAGCAAAGTAAGGTTCCCAGGAAGCAAGATCAGGTGCCCCAGTCACAAGACAGAAGAACACAGTGAGTTTGCCAAAGTTAATTAAAAGGCATTAGTCCTGGGAACTGGAGAGATGGCTCTGTTGTTAAGAGCACTGGCTGTTCTTGCAGAAGATCTGGGTTGTTACCACCCACATAGTGGCTAACAAGTTCCAGGGGAATCCGATGCCCTCTTCTGACCTCCTCAGGCATTGCATGACACGAGTGCACCTACCTACATGCAAGCAATACACTCAGACACATAAAAAATAAAAATAATAAGTAAAATATTTTTTAAGTCATTAGTTACAGAGCATGATGGCACACACCTGTAATCCCAGCACTCAGGAGGCAGAGACAGGCAGACCTCTGTGAGTTTGAGGCTAGCCTGGTCTACATAGCGAGTTCCAGGCTAGCTGGGACTACAGGGACCCTGTCTTAAAAATGACCATTAAAAGGTCATTAGTCCAGATTCTGTCCATTTTATAAAAGTCATTCCTACAATATAGTAATTGTCTTGAATCAGAAAGCTTATTAGTTCAGTATCTTAAGATAATGACTGCTTCTCTACCATCCCAGGCACACTGGCTTCTCTTAGCCCATGTTAAAACATATTTCTTGGGATGGAGAGATGTCTCAGCAGTTAAAAGCACCTACTGCTCTTACAGAGGACCTGAGTTTGGATCCTAGCACCCACATCAGGTGGCTCACAACTACCTGTAATTCCAGCTCTAGGGGATCCAATGTCCTCTTCTGGTACCAGCATTTATGTGTACATGCCCATACACATAACTAAAAAACCAAGAATAAATGCTTTTATTTATGTGTATGTGTGTATTGCCTGCATATAGGTAAGTGCACCCATGCTGTGCAATGCCCGCAAAGGACAGAAGAGGCTGTCAGAACTGGAGTTAAGGACAGTTGTTAGCTGCCATGTGGGTGCTGGGATTCAAACCCGGGTCTTCTGCAAGAACAGTCAGTATTCCTAACCACTGAGCCATCTCTCCAGCCCCCAAGAATAAATGCTTTTAATGTGTTTATTTACCTTCACATAACAAGCTTGACATATTAAGTTCAACCAAAATGCAAAATAATTTAAATACTAAAATCTGCCATGGTTTGAATGTAGCCCTCCAAATTCATGTGTTAGAAACTGAACCTCTTTTTAATTATGCTAACTGACAGGACTTTACCAAGTGATTCTGTCATGGGAGCTCTGCCCTCATGAATGAACCAATATTGTGATCACAAGAATGAGTTCCAGGACAGCTCAGGCTACAGGGAGACCCTGTCTCAAAATAAATAAATAAATAAATAAATAAATAAATAAATAAATAAATAAACAAACAAATAAATAAAATAAAAGACCAAAAAAATAAAGAATGAGTTGATTATTGAATGGTGGCTCACACTTGCAATCCCAGTACTTGGGAGGTTGAGGCAGAAAGGTCATGTGTTCAAGGCCAGACCCTGTTGTTTTTTATTAATTTTATTTATTTATTGGTTTTATTTGTTTGTTTTTGAGACAGGATCTCCCGGTAGCCCCAGCTGGCCTGGAACTTCTTGTGTAGACAGGCTGGCCTCAAACTCAGAGATTTACCTTCCTCTGCCTCTCCTGTGCTTGGATTAAAAGCAAACACAACCATGCCTGGCTCAAACTCTTTTTTTTTTTTTTTTTTTTTTTTAAATCAGGGTCTTGCCTGGTGTGGTGGCACATGCCTTTAATCCCAGCATGCAGGAGGACAGAGACAGGCGGATCCCTGTGAGTTCGAGGTCAGCCTGTGTACATAGCAGGTTCCAGGCCAGTTGGGCCTATAGGGGGGTTGTCTCAAAAAAACAAAAAAAAAATAAAAAAGAGTTTGGCCCTCTGTCCCCTCAGAGTGTTTTCTCATCACACCATGCCCCTGCCACAATACAGCTCAGTGTAAAGACCCTCACAAAACAGAACCCCTCGGTCTTGGACTTCCTATCCCCCAGACCAATGAGCCAAATAAATTTATATTTTTTTCTTAATTTCTTATTTTGTCTTTTAAATTTTTTTGCTTTATTTTTATTTTATGTGTATTTGTATATTTCATGCATGTATGCAAGTATACCTATGTCATACAATGCCCTCAGAGGACAGAAGAGGGTATCAGATTCCCTGGAACTGGAGTTACAGACAGCTGTTGGCTACCATGTGGGTTCTGGTATTTGAACCCGGGTCTCCTGCAAGAATAGTCTGTGGTCTTAACCCCTGAGCCATCTCTTCAGCCCCATAAATTTATATTTGTTACAAATTATCCAGCCCAAGGCATTCTGTTATAGCAGCATCAAGGACTAAGGAAGAGTCTTCAATAGAGCAGGAATTGGTTCTCTCTTTCCACCATGTGGATTCCAGAGATTGAACTCAGGTCATCAGGGTTGGTGGCAAGCACCCTTACCCTCTGAGTCATCTCATCTGGCCCCTTTTGTTTTCTTTTATAACTTTGGGACTTTGATCAATGATCTGTCTGGAAGAATTCTAAAATAATCCAGGCTTCCTAGATCCCAGGGAACATGACTGAACCTGGCTCTTTGACCTAATACTGATTAGTACCTGAGATTCCTAAGTCCTCTCCTACTTTTAGGGTCCTTTGTCTTGAGCCCAGGGGAACCCAGATACACTTCTCTCACAGAGTCCTATGGGCTCCAGGTGGCCCAGATGACCTGGAAGCACATTTGACTGAGTCAAGGGCTGTGGCACTTCCTCTGTAAAGCCAACGCTGATTCCCTCCATTCTTCCTTGCCATCTGCACCCTGTTCTGCCAACTCTCAGGGGAGGAAATTTGCATCATGCAGTAGGTGAAGGGCTCTTAGGGATTGCTCCAGCAAGCTATGGCTTCTCCGGCTGTGCCACAGCTGCTCCTGGCCATGACTCTTCCCTTGCTGTGGTCACCAGTTGCCCCCACAGCCCAACCAGTAAGTACTGGGGTGAGGGCCCTGGGAAGATTTGCAGAAGCTGCAAAGGAGCCTCAGTTGTAAGAGACCACAAGGTGTGGGATGAAAGGACTTAAGGAGGGAAAAGGCTGAAGGAAAGGGACTGGCTTGTTTTAAGCAGCCAGCCTTCCTATGCAGGATGAAGGGACATTTCCGTTTCTTCACTTCATGCTTGTGAAGTCCAAGGTACCTTCTACACTTTGGATAAAGTCTCTTTTGGTCATGCTGGAAATTTAAAATGAAATGAAAAGAAAAGCTTTCCAAATTTGGAAGCTACTGGCACAGAGGGTGGGAGAGCTTCTGAGGAAAAGCAGCAGAGCCTAGATTTGTATTTTTTAAATCAATGTTTACAGATCTATATCTCTAAATCACTATCTCCAAATCTAAATCCATACCTGTATCTATCTCTAAGTCTATATCTTTGTCAATAGCTAAGTCTAGATGTATTTATCTGATTTTATTTATTTATTTATTTGTTTTTATTTAATGAAATGGAACTGCTATGTTGTCCAGGCTGGTCTTGAACTCCTGAGTTTAACTGATCCTCCTGCTTCAGCTTCTCAAATGCTGAGATCACAAGCATGGTCCACCATGCCTGGCTTCCCCCTGGTTTTATTTACTTTTTTATATTTTGGGATCTGCTTGTTATTGTTGTTGACTTTTTGAGATAAGGGCTATCTCTGTAGCCCATGCTGCCTGAAACACATTATGTAGCCCAGGCTGACCTATACTCACTGCAATCCTGCTTTAGCCTCCCAAGTGCTGGGATTGCAAGTGCACTACTACCTGGTTTTATTTATTTATTTTTTGAGTTTTTAAATGAGTCTAATGAAGAATTTTTTAGGAAGGTAACTGCTTTTGATGTCATTTAAAAAGTTACATTTCTTAATGCTGTATAATAAAAATAATGTTAGAGAACACAGTTAAAAGCTTCTTTCTGCCAGGCATGGTGGTGCATGCCTTTAATCCCAGTGTTTGGCAGGCAGAGGCAGGCGGATCTCTGTGAGTTCAAGACTAGCCTGGTCTACATAGCAGAATTCCAGGTTCAGTTGGAGTTACAGCAGGGAGACCCTGTCTCAAAAAGACAAAAAAAAAAAAATCTTTCTGCTGGAATTCTCAGATAATATAGCATAGTGTTGTCATTTTTGCAATGCTAGAAGTCTCTTCTATATTCACTTCAAAAAGCAATGAGTGTCTGGACATGGTGGTGCATACCTTTAGTCCCAGCACATGGGAGGCAGAGGCAGGTGGATCTCTGTGACAGAGAGACCCAGTTAAAAAAAAAAAAAAAAAGCAATGAATAACAGAAGACAGCATTTAAAAAGTCACTTTTTCTCTATTCATTCAGTAGTATTGCCAGTATTATTACCATGACAGACTAGTTTCCACTTTATCCACTTTATTTATTTTTTTTTTGAGACAGGGTCTCCCAGTAGCCCCAGCTAGCCTTGAACTCACTATGTAGACCAGGCTGGCTTTGAACTCACAGAGATCCACTTGCCTCTGCCTCCCAAGTGCTGAGATTAAAGGCGTGCGCCACCACACCAGGCTTACTTCCTCCACTTTAACAAGCTCTGTCACCTCTCTTAATTCAATATCACTCAGTGTAAAAGTCCACACAGTATTGAAGAATCTGTGTTTAGAGAGCCCCTGAAATTGACTCTGTTCCTGACCCTCTGAGCCAATGCTGAATGTATGTCCTTATCAAACTGAAGTTGAGCTTGAGGGGCAAGGGGGGGTGGAGGTCTGCTGAATCTGTATGAGCTTATTGAGACTCTCTTGAAGACTGGTTCCCAAAGTTGTATTTCTGTATGACTGATATGCCATGGTTCAGAAGGAAGCAATTGTTTTTTCTTGGGCTTGCATTGATATCTGGAGGGAAGGTACGTGCTAGACCACCTGTCAGCTGCTGAAACTATCTGTGGCCCTACAACCTGGCCTTAGACAGATATGTACACGAGATTTTGAGAGGAAGGAGTGGTTAATACACTGAAACCTAAGACTGCAGAAAAATGCTGCCTCCTGCTCACTCTCATGTCAAATCCTTGAAAGGAATAAAGTCCCCAACCCTCAGGGCTCAACCACCTCTGCCCAGCCTCCCTTCTGGAGCTCTGGACCCAGCCACTTCAGTTAGCCTAGAGGCCCAGGGACAGGTAAATTCAGGAAGGAGCTAAGCAAAGTATGTTGACTCCCAGGGTGTGCTTGGTTCCTGGTTTCATGTGGCAATGCTAGCCCTGGCAGAGTCCCTAGAATTGTGTCCTTGTCCTCGCTTTTGAAAGCCTTCCCTCCCGACAGATATATACACTTGATTTCTGGCCTACAGAAGTGCTTCCAAGAGACCAAGTCTTGCCAGAGTAGCCAGGCTGGCCCTGAGGTGCTTGAAAGGAATTTGGGACCAGCCTCTCATCAGCAGTCTCTCCTCTGTACTCTCTGTTCCAGGAACTGAGTCAGGCTGGAGAGGAATCTGGGCAGCAACTGGACCAGGAAAATGGAGCAGGGGGTGAGTGTGAGGACAATGGAAACAGGGCAGGAAAGATGCAGGATGGGTATAGCGAGGTATGCAGCGAGAGGATAGGCTCATAGCCTCTCCTCTGGCTGTACTCTGCTTCTATAGAAACCATCCTGGTCTCCGGCTATGCACATCTGGAATTTGCAAGTAGGATCTGGCCACAGGCACTCTCCAGGAACCTTACTCTCCTTGCTGCCTCCACTTCGTTTATCCCAAGAAAACTTACTGGTCTCAGCCTCACAACAAGTAACAGTTGCTTGGGAACGGGATTCAGACATAATGGTGCACAGCTTCCCAGCTCTCCAGCCAGCTTGTCTGAGATGCAGTGACCTCTCCCTATTTCCTGAGGGCTACTGGATTCTTTCTCCCTGGCCCTTCTCCTTCCTCACCACCCCACCAGACATACTCCTCCTTCCTGCTCATGCCCCAATCTTCTGAGTTGGGTAGAGAGTCCAAAGGTCCCATGGGATGCCTTTGCCCAGCATGGCCTCTGCTGCTCTGAGTGCTGGTTGCAGAGGGAAGACTCACTGGGTGGGTGGTGTGACTTCCTGGGACTTTGGAGTTGATGTCAGCCAGGCCTGAAGCCTCTCAGGTACCAAACAGTTGCTGGCCCCAAAGCCTAGTTCTCTTGTCCTGCCTATCATTTTCTATCACAGAGTGTCATGTGGACCACCAGGGGTGGAGCTACTGTACTTGCAGCTTGGGCTACCAGTGGAACTCCACACTTTGCTCACATTTCCCTTCCTGCACTAATCACAGTTCAGACCTTGATCCTTGCCACTGTCGGATCTTCCATGATCCTGTCCCCAGCTACTGCCAGTTGCTGCCACCTGGTGAGTAGAGTTAGCAAGTTGGAAACTAGTATCCTCAAGTGAAAAGAAGCTCACTCTGGGTTTTGTTTTTGTTTTTGTTTTCACTGAACCTATATTTCTGTCAGCTGGCCCAAGCCCAGCTGCTTCTCCGGCTGGGCAAAAAAACAAGCTATCACAGCAAGTCACTGGACCTGAGATTAGGACTTGAATAATGAGATCTGTGAATGGGCCCCTGGAGTCAAAGAGACAAGGGGAGGACCCATCTTGAAGCAACTCTAGCAGCCCCAATTTCCTGGGGAGGGGAAGTCGTGAGCCACAGGTCTCCCTCTTTAGTTCTCAATGGAAGGTCTGCCAGGCTGAGATGTAGCAACCTCATCCCTACAGAGATGAGAAGGAAATTAGACAGGGAGGGCTGTGGAGGGACAGGCCTCAGAAGATAAAAAAGGGAAATTGCTTAGTTGCCAACTTGCCTTGAGACCCTTCTCCAGCCCCTTTCTCTTTTACTTCCCTGCAGTCCCTGCAAACCTGACTCTGGGCTCCCACCTGCAGATGCCTGGGAACACGCTGAATATCACTCTCTTCATGAGCCAGGAGGCCACTAACCTGAGATGGTTCTTGAAGCACCCAAACCGCAAACTCATCCTCCTATGGCCTGGGACAAATGTGTTCCAGACTTACAAACAGGGCCAGGCTGGCCTTAGTGTCACCCACGTATCCTACCACTGGACAGGTAGTCCTAAACAGTATTCTTTCTCTGCCTTTTCTTTTTCTTTCCCTTTTCTTCTTTCTCCTTTTCCTCTGCTTCCTTTCCACTTCTTCCTCTCATTCCTCCTTCCCCTCTCTTCTGTTATTTCCATTCCATTCATCTCTTCCTTACTCTTCATTTGTTGGGTGAAGCAAAGCCTAAGAGACCCATTATAGTGTGGGAAAAAAAAAATTATATATATATATATATTGAGACAGAATCTCCCTGTAGCCCCAGCTGGTCTGGCCTTGATCTCACAGAGATCTACCTGCCTCTGCCTCCTGAGTACTGGGATTAAAGACCTGTGCCACCACGCCTGGCTGGAAAACAAAAACAAAAACCCAAAACTTTAAAACTGCCACTTGTTTCCACTGTGGTCTGGGGATTTCTGGGATTCTTTCATGGCTTCACAAAAACTAAACAGTTGTCCTAATAATATTAAGATGTCAAAAAAGCTGGGCATGGTGGCGCACGCCTGTGAGACTTTGTACCAACTAACAAAGAGACCCTGCCCCAAATAAGGTGGAAGATTAGGATGGATACCTGAGAGTATACTCTGACCTCCACCTATGTCATGGCATGTGCCCACCTGCACACACACATGAACACATAAACTCTTGCCTCCCCATCACATACACACACAAGATAAGTGAAAAAATGTCAGTCTTATGATTATGTTAGTGTTTTTCATTAAGATATTTCTGTTAAAAGAGAAAAGACTAGTGTTTGTCTAGCCGCTCCATGATGGGCAGCGTGAGAAGGGCATATACTATAGGGAATGAGGCTCACCTTAGAATTCATACATACTGGCTAGGATGGAGAGCTTAGGAGCCTCTTCTTCTGATCTCTTCTTCCTTTTGGGGGCAGAGAATGTCTTCTGAAAGGGCTATCCTGGGACCTTTGTGACTGGGGGTAAGCTCTAGATGGTGAGCAGAGGAGGGGAGCAAGCAGGAGGCTTGGGCTGTGGCTTGAAAAGCAGTGGAGACCTGGTATGCAGGCAGTCCTGAGGGACCCTCCAGGTACAAGTGGGTGTATGTCTACAGGTAAGTACATAAGCATTTTCGAGGCCCAGGGATTCAGGTGGAATCTGTACCAGGAGGTGCAGGTGCCCTTGGAAGAAAAAGAAGTGACTCGACTTCCAGACCAGCTGTCCATCTCCTGTGCCACCTCCCCGGGCTTCCAGCTGAGCTGCTGCATCCCCAGAACAAACGTGGCCTACATTGCTGCCTGGAGTCCCAATAAGGACAGTCAAGGTAGGAGGTGGTCAGAGGCGACAAGTGCGGCTGGTCTCCTCCAGGCAGCTGAGTCCTCAGCTCTCCAGCAGTAGGCTCAGTTCAGGCTGGGAGTTGGGTGTCTAAGCATTATTTTCACCCCATCAGAGCAATGCCAGTTCAGGTGATGATAGTACAACTACACATGTGGACAACTTTCTGCAAAATTCTTTCATCCATACACTCCTTAACTCTTGCAGTAAATTCCATGAAGTTAAGCCTGGTCTACATAGGGAGTTCAAAAAAACAAAACAAACAAACAAACAAAAAAAGAAAAGAAATTCCATTAAGTTAGTTTGATAATCCCCCTTTTTTAAAAAAATGAGGAAACTGGTGGCTGGAAATATAGTTCAGTGGTTAAGAGCACTTGTTTCTCAATACCCATGTTGGCTGGTTCACAACCTCCTGTAACTCCAGCTCCAGGGGATCTAGCTCCCTCTTCTAGACTCTCTGGGTACCTGCAGTCATGTACCTGTACTCACACAGACACATACACATGTATATAACTAAAAATAAAACATTACAAAAAACAACGTCACTCTATTAGCAAGACTGATTTTTTTTTTAATGAAGAAACTGTGGAAACTGAGTCCCAAGGCTAGAAATCCCCCAAGATACCCTTCAGCAAAAACCAAGTTCCGTACTCAGCAGTTGGCTACTGACATACCACTCAGCTCTTCTACTGCTTCATCTTCTAACTAGACACTCTGAAATGGCATGTGTGGGCCTGCTCAGCTCTCACCTGCTCTGGCCAGTGATTTTACCTTTCTTGTCTCTTCCACCCACAGCTTCCATGCACAATACATCAGACTCTCAATGCCTTGTGCTGGCTGTTCAGCACTGCCCAGCAGCTGACACCACATACACTTGTACCCTTCAGAGCCAGAATGTGACTCCTCTCATGGCTCCTGTCTCTGTCACCATCATCCAGGGTATGTGGGACTTGGGGTCCAGTGGGTTGACCTCTCAGTGGCTTGCTCTTGGAACACAGGGCATCCTCCTTGATGTTCCTCTGCCTTGGGTCACTGAGCCAGGTCCAAGAGGCGGTCCTGCACATGTTTCAGCCCAAACAAAGGCTGGATTGTGGCTTTTGAGTCCTCTCTGATCATCCTTCTTCAGATGGAGATACCACCTGCCCTGAGGACTTCTCAGTTGTTGCCTGGAATGTCACCAAAGCTGGCCATGTGGCTCAGGCCCCATGTCCCATGAATAAGAGGGGCATGATAAAGAGGTCCTGTTGGTCTGATGGGGTCTGGGGGCCCATTCAGAACAGCTGCACAGAGGGGAGCATTCTAATCTTGTGTCAGGAAGCCCAGGTAAAGCTGCTACCCCCATGTCTCCCAGATAGCCCACACCTGCCCGTTTAACTCTCTCCCTCCTTCCCTCAGAACACAGATTTAGGATCCTTTCCTGGGACCAACCTACCTATTATTTAGCTTCTCTCACCTGGAGCCCTAGCAAAGTTAGGAAGGAGGAATGGGTTCTCCAGGGACCATAGGGGTGGGATGCTTTGCTCAAACAGTCCCATCAAATATCTATCTCCTAACATTGTCACCAGTTCTACCATGTGCCTATGCACTCCTCCCTCTGCTTCCTGCTCCCCTGAGGGGTGTGGAGCAGAAGGGCAAGGAGTTGGGTGGGAAGAGGAGGAGGTGACCCCTTCCTGGTGAGGATTCTTCCACAACCATTTTCCCACTGTCTTGTCTGTCAGCTGCTGCTGGCAGGCCAGGGGAAGCCTGATGAGGAGGTGCCATTTATCCTGAGTCAGCTACGAGGGCAGGTGAAGGTAGCCAGCACCCCCTCTGACTTATGGGAACTGCTGCACATTGTGACCATACTGGCTGAGGTGGTGGTAGAGAAAAGAATGGAGCTGACAGGCCGTGCCCTGAAGGTAAGATCTCTGAGCCACACTGGAAACCAACTGCACAGTAGAGGGTGGAATCTCTCCCATAGGACACTTTGCCCTTCTGACATTATGTGGGCAGCCCAACAGGGACCTTTTTAGAATCCAGGAGTCTGCTCCTGGTCCCTCTCTGCCGTTAGTCTCCAAAGCCATGGAATGTGAAGGCCTTATGCTGGGGACACAGAGGCTGAAGGCAGGAAGGGGTGAGGCATGAGTACAAAGACACACACGGCACACAGAAATGTGAATATCACACACACATACATATACACTGCACACGCACGATACCCATATGGAAACACTCAAACACACTTGACATTGCTGTACCTACCTGATTTAAGAATACCGATAGGGCAGGACATGATAGTTTACACCTTTAATCCCGGCACTCAGGAAGCAGAGGCAGGCAGGTGAATAATTGAGAGTTTGAGGTCTACATATATAATATTTACATAGTGAGTTCCAGCTCAGCCAGAGCTACATAGTGAGACTCTGTCTCAAAAAAAAAAAAAGAAAGAATGATATCACATACCTTTATTGTCTGCAACTATACTGCAAATATGGCTGCATAGACCTGGTGTAGCTCTCAACTTCAGAATATGGTACTCCCTGCCACTGGCCACCACTCAGCATTGCAGAGCTGGAAGGGTTAAGGAATTGAAAAAGAGTCCTCTTAGGACCTGGGAGGCCACAAGTGATGGAAAGGGAAAATGATTCATCAGGCAGAATGTCTGGGTATGGATCAGGAGACCACATTCCTGAGATGCCCCAGGTGACTGGGCAGCATTCCATTCTTGCAGTCTGGAAAGGCTCTTTCACAGGCCTATCTCCCCTTTTCTCTCTAGTCCTGGGTTTTATCTTTGATTAGGAAGAGCAGGGGAGAAGGTCTGTGGGCCCCTGTACACTCGGTGAATCACATTTCTCCTCCTGTTGGGCACTGTAGGATCTCCTGGAAACCACAGACAACATTCTGGATGTGAACACCAGCTCTCTGTGGACCCTGGCCCAGGCCGAGAAGCCCTCGATGGGCTCAGATTTCCTGCAGGCTGTGGAGATCTTGGTACACAGCTTGAGCCCACAGCAGCATCCTTTCTCCTTTACCACATCTAATCTACAGATACAGAGCCAGCTCTTCAGACACACCTCTTCTCCTGGCTACAATATGTCCTTTTCCACCGGGGCCCTCCTGAAGGTACAGATCCCCTGGTACTCACTGGCTCCATTGGTCCACAATGGAACCAACATCAGTATTACTAGCCTGGTACTGCAAAAACTGGACCATCTCCTGCCCTTAAACTATATACAAGGGCTAGGGAATGCCCCATATACCACTCCTGGTTTGGTACTTGTCATCGCCATCATAGCAGATGGCCAGGCCTTCACCCAGGCAGAGGTCATCATAGACTTTGAGGACATGAATGGAACCCTACACTGTGTCTTTTGGGACCACAGTCTCTTCAAGGGCCACGGGGGCTGGTCCAATGAAGGGTGCCAGGCACAGGCAGCCGGAGCTGTCACTCAATGCATCTGCCAGCATCTCACTGCCTTCTCCATCCTCATGTCCCAACACACTGTCCCAGAAAGTCCTATCCTGAACCTGCTAGGGCAGGTGGGCCTGGGAGCTTCCATCCTGGCATTGCTCCTGTGCCTGGGTGTGTATAGGCTGGTATGGAGAGTGGTGGTACGGAACAAAGTCGCCTTCTTCCGCCACGCTGCCCTGTTTAACATGGTGATCTGTTTGCTGGCTGCAGACACATGCTTCCTAGGAGCCCCATTCCTTCCTCAGGGGTACAGCAGCCCACTCTGCCTGGCCACTACCTTCCTGAGCCACTTTTTCTACCTGGCCACTTTTTTCTGGATGTTAGCACAGGCCCTGGTGCTGGCCCACCAGTTGCTTTTTGTCTTCCATCAGCTGTCTAAGCACTTAGTTCTCTCACTGATGGTGATCCTGGGCTACCTGTGTCCACTGGGGTTTGCAGGTGTCACCCTGGGCCTCTACCTGCCCCAAGGGAAATACCTGTGGGAGGGGAAATGCTTTTTGAATGTGAATGGAGTCAGGCTGCACATGTTCAGTGAGCCAGTGCTGGTCATTGTCTTTGTGAATGGGCTGGTACTTGCCATAGCTGTGCTGAAGTTGCTGAGACCTTCACTGTCAGAGGGGCCCCCAGTGGAGAAGCGCCAAGCTCTTGTGGGAGTGCTCAAAGCCCTGCTTATTCTCACACCTGTCTTTGGCCTCACCTGGGGACTAGGTGTGGCCACTCTATTAGACCAAGTCTCCGAAGTCCCTCACTACATCTTCACCATTCTCAACAGCCTCCAGGTAGGTGGCAGGGGCCAGGGGTGGCTGTGCTGGTTGGCCTTTCAGATAGTTTCTTAGTCAATGCCAATCACCAGGTTTGGAATTTTAGAAGAATTGGGATCAGATCCCAGTTCCTCCACTGCCTCTCTGGATAACTTTGGACAAATTACACAGCTTTTCTGAGCTTTGATTTTTCTTATCTATAAAATCATACCTGATATTGTCAGAGAGGAAATTGTCAGTACCCAATCTTTAAAAAAAAATATTTTCTTATTTTCATTTTATGTGTATGTGTGTATTGCCTGCATGTAGGTAAGTGCACCCATGTTGTGCAATGCCCGTGGAGGACAGACAAGACTGTCGGATCCCCTGGAACTGGAGTTACGGAAAGTTGGTAGCTGCCATGTGGGTGCTAGGATTCGAACCCGGGTCTTCTGCAAGAACAGTGTTCTTAACCGCTGAGCTATCTCTCCAGCCCCAGTACCCAATCTTTTGATATCCACTTTATAACCTTAACAATAAGAAAGGCACCAGAGGGGTCAGCAGGTAAAGGTGCTGCTGCCAAGCCTGATGATCTGAGTTCCATCCCTGGGACCCCCATGGTGGAAGGAGAGAACTAACTCCTACAAGTTGGTTCTGCATGTGTACTCTGTGTGTGTGTGTGTGTGTGTGTGTATGTAATAAATGTAATTTTTTAAAAAATAAAGGCACCAGAAATGGATTCTATACACCAAGTGATGCCAATGTGCACAGAAACTCAGGCAGGCAACTTTAGGATGTGGATTAGACAAAAGGTCTGGAACTCAAGGATGAGGAGAGACAGGCAGTTGATGGGGGCTGCTTCTTTGACCATAACTATTGTCTCCCATGTCACTCTTCCCAGGGTGTCTTCATCTTAGTGTTCGGCTGCCTCACAGACAAGAAGGTGAGTCTGTCCAGCTAGCTCCCATACTGCTAGCAGTCTAGAGGCCAAGATGTGGCAGGCATAACCAGGGCACTTACCTCTTTCAGGTACTAGAGGCCTTAAGCAAACGCTTCTGTGGCACCCAGCCCTCCAACTCTGCCATCTCTCTGGTGAGTTGCTGGCTTCGAAGCCTCAGCTGTCTGTGAGAACAGGCCAGCTGTTCCCCAGCCCTCCTCAGTGGAGATGCACTCAGCTAGGAATGGAGAAATAGGGGTGCTTTTTACAATGAGCAGCTTTCAGGGAGAGCAGACCAGCCAGCATAGTCAGAATGGGATATTAGGGTTCCTGATGACCACCTGGATGCCTGATGACAGTCCTGTCCCTGGTTTCCATCATCTAAAACTCTGTCTCAGGTTAGCATTTTGAAGGAAAAGGTAGAGTGGGGATCCACGTAGCTGATGCCAAAGTTCCAGGAATTACTGTAGCCCTAGAGAAGGGCAGGTGGGGAATGCCAATGGACACAGCTCTTAATGGGTGGGCTGACTATAATAATGATCATCCCAACTGGGTCTTTCCACCTCTTCCTAGGCCACAAATGAAACCTACATCTCAGAACCTGGCAAAAGAAGTGAACATGCCAGGTGAGAGCCAGCTTTCTCTGGAGTAGTGTGAACACTGGAGTGAAGATGGCTATGGCAAGGGCCCCCTGGTCAAGTTCTTTATTTTTCAGTTTTGGGGTTCAAATCCAGAACCTTGCTACCATTATGGTCATGCCTTGTTCTGGCCACATTCTTGACAAGTAGCGACTGTACACAGATCTACCCCAGCCCAGAGTGTGGCTGTTCTTTGGTGGGCCTTAGAGCAGAAGCAAAGCATCAACAAATTGGGACCCAGTTCACTCTGAAAAATCCCTTTCCACAGTACCAAATTTTAAGTTATCCTGAAAACCCCTACACCACCTGTGTGGTGGTGCTTGCTTGTAATCCTGGGTCTCAGGAGGCCAAGGCAGCAGGGTCATGCATTTGAGCCTAGCATGCACTACATAGTGAGATCCAATCCAAACACACAAATAGCAAAACAAACCAACCAACCCTTGCCTTAAGTGAGTTGCCATTGGGGGCTTGATATCCAGAGGGGAGAGCAGTGTACAAAGTTTGGGTAAGGTGTCCTGTCCTCAGACCAAGCTACAGAGTGAGCTTTTATAGAGATTCCAGGTGAACTCATGTTCCCAGTAATCATGCACGTTTGTGATGGCATCTACCAAGCAAATCCCAGGCAATACTCTGAACCTTCTCCCCTTCCAGAGTTCTCCACTCAGGAAAGGCAGACTTTAGTTTCCATCAGTCACACACAGTCCTCTTGCAGCTCACCAGTCCACGGTCCCTAACATATCTAAGCAAGAAAAGCATGGAAAAGGTAGCTAAAGCCTTCCATTAACGTACTGCATAAGACTGCTTTGCTGCAAAAATAATCAACAGGTGTCAAAGTCCAAAAGAATTACAAGTAAAACTGTGCCAGCCAGTTCTTAAGTAACCAATAGTGCATGTTACAGATACAATAGATAAAAAAGGTTTTATTGTAATCAGTGATTTGTTCTCTGGTTATTTCTTTTTAATAGTTATGAAGAAAGGATGAATACTTGATAGGCACCTCTGATCTTCTTAACATTACATTGAAGATGAAGGACTGAATTTGGGGGCTTTGGGGGGGGTCAAGTAATCTATTTACAAAGTTCTGGCTAATATAACTGCTTTTAAAATATAACAAAAATAGGTCATTTACTAGCCTGTGAAGTAGGTGACACATGGCATAGAAAAAACTGCATAGTTAAATTATTAAAGCAGACAATTGAAAATTAATGAAGCTTTTGCAATATTTTTTAAAAATATTTTTTTTAATTTTATGTGTATCAGTGTATTGCCTGCATGTATGTGAGTGCACCCATGTCGTGCAATGCCATGGAGGTCAGAAGAGGGCTTCAGATTCCCCTGGAACTAGTGTTAAGGATGGGTGCTGGGAATCGAACCTAGGTCCTCTGCAAGAGCTGTCAGTGCTCTTAACCACAGAGCCATCTCTCCAGCCCCTGCAATATTCTCTCATACAAGTAGGAAATACATTTATTCAGTCAGACAAGGGAAAAATTTGACCATTTTGTATTACTGACTATAAAAAATACTATTTTAAAAGGTAATGTCACACTTTGGGAAATATTTTACAAGAATAAATTTCCAATTTTACACTTACTTTTATGACCACAATAAAAAGTTGAGCACATATGTATCTGTGCATTTCATGGATGGTTATTAAAACTGATGGCAATTTTAGAACTATTGCATAAAGAATATAATTTTTACCATGGGCTTTTCATGGCCTTATCCTTTGAATAAAATTCAGTGCAATATCAAACAGAATCAAGTTTTGTTACTGTTTAAAATAATCTCTGAAATAGCTATGTGTTTATATCAGTATATTGCTTTTGCAACATATACAATGCTTTATAGCATTTCTTTGCTTACTAGTTCTTTTTATTTTTTGGTCTTTCTTGAGACAGGGTCTCCCTATAGCCCCAGCTGGCCTGGAACTCACTATGTAGACCAGACTGGTCTTGAATTCAGAGATCCACCTGCCTCTCCCTCCCAAGTGCTGGAACTACAGTTGTGTGCCACCACGCCTGGCATGTTTTTTGGTCTTTTTGAGACAGGGTCTCCCTATACCCCAGCTGGCCTGGAACTCACTACGTAGACCAGGCTGGCCTTGAACTCCACCTGCTCTGCCTCCTGAGTGCTGGGATTAAAAGTGTGTGCCATCCATGTTTCTTTTTAAGGTCTAGGAAAAGGTGATGTCCTTCTTTAACTTAAAAAAAATCAGTGTAGAATGTAAGTTTCAGGAGTATATGTATGTGAACAAAGAATTTGAAAAAATTTTGTCTTTAAAAGTTTTAAAGTGGAAGGAAAGGTAACACTGACAAGATGACAAGACATAAGGAAAAATGACAAGTACTGATATTTGAAGGTGACAGGGGTAAGCTAGGATGAGATACAGGACACCAGGACATCTGGCTGAATTAATAGAGTTCAGAAGAGGGTAACAAGCTTTTGCAAAAGTGTTAAACAAGTTCAATGAAAAGTTCCTGATGGTCAGTCTTTTAAAATTACACTATGGTGGGGCTGGAGAGATAGCATAGTGGTTAAGAACACTGACTGTTCTTGCAGAAGACCCGGGTTTGAATCCCAGCACCCACATGGCAGCTAACAACTGTCCATTCCAGGGGATCCAACAGTCTCTTCTGTCCTCTGCAGGCATTGCATGACATGGGTGCACTTATCTACACACAGGCAATACACACATACACATAAAATTAAAAAAAAAATAACTATGGATACTTTATAAAATAGGATGGGTACATTTTCTGTTAAAAATGGAGGAACAGGGAGATAGCTCAGCAAATAAAAGTGCTTGCCATGCAAGCCTGACGACCTCGGTTCAATCACGGGAACCCCTGAAAAGGTGGAGAGAACCGATTCCCAAAAGTTGTCCTCTGACCTCCACACAAGGTGCTGTGCATGCACATGCCCTGCCTGACAAAATAAACAAACATTATAAAAATTTTAAATATAAATGCAAGCAATATACTTTTCCTTTAGGTGCAGAGGAGACTCCCTTCCTGAGTGTGCTTTGGTAGACAGAGGTGCCTCTTCTTTCTCAGTTGCACATACTCAATGCATGCTGTACTGGTAAAAGCCCATTTTAGAACTGTAGATGAGAGAACATTAAGCCTTCATTGGCTCTCTCCATTTAATAAACATTTCATAAAAGAAGGCTCTGGTGGGGCTGGAGAGATGGCTCAGCGGTTAAGAGCACTGACTGCTCTTGCAGAGGACCCAGGTTCGATCCCCGGCACCCACAGGGCAGCTACAAACTGTCCTTAACTCCAGTTCAGGGGAATCTGAAGCCCTCCTCTGATCTCTGTGGCATTGCATGACATGGGTGCACTCACATACATGCAGGCAATATACTCATACACAAAATAAAAATAAAATATTAAAAATAAAAGGCTCTGGAGACAAGCAGAAGAAAACACATTTAAAAGTAATTCCATTTCTAAGGTAAATGGACAAATGAGCAGATGAAAGTTCAAAGGCCGTGCATTCCAATGTCAGCACACCTGACCTCTCAGGCATCTGGCAAGAACAGTTAGGATGTGTCCATATGCAGGTCTGCTGTGTGGTCAGTAACATGGAGAATTGTTTAGGCTACAGAGCTAGCAAACAAAGGCTCCCAGGCAGCATTATACTATGTAATTTTGTACAAATATACCTTGAGAAGGAGAGATATAAAAATGTTAACAGTGGATATTTGCACTTCGTTTTTAATTTTCCCCTTCTTTATATTGTTTTTAAAAAAATTTTGTTTATGAGTGTTATGCCTGCACGTGTGTAAGTGTACCTGTGTCATGCAGTGCTCACAGAGGACAGAAGAGGGTGTCAGATCACCTAGAACTGGAGTTATAGACAGTTGTTAGCCGCCATGTGGGTGCTGGGATTTGAACCTGGGTCTTCAAGAGCAGCCAGTGCTTTTAACTGCTGAGCCATCTCTCCAGCCCCTTGTTTGAAATTTTTAGAGTTAACATTTTTTACATATATTTAAGGTTTACATGTTTTGATATATATGGGCATATATGTATTGAAATGATTACTAAAATCAAGTTAATGTATCTAGCATCTCACATAGCCAGTACACATACGTGTGTGTGTTGTGTGTGTGCTGTAATCACACCTAAAAGCTAGCTGCTCTTAGCAAATTTCTATTACACAATAAAATATTGCCAGGTGTGATGATACACGCCTTTGAGGCCAGCACTGAGGAGGCAGAGGCAGCTGGATCTCTGTGAGTTCCGGGCCAGCCTGGTCTACAAAGTGAGTTCCAGGCCAGCTGGGGCTACAGGAAAACCCTGTCTCAAAATGACCAAAAGAAAAAAAAGAGTATTTTAAAACAAATAGTTGTGGTACAGCACTGGTGGTTACATCAATTACTGTAAAATTAATCTCGTTTATTTATTAGTCTGGCCATTAGGGAATAATAATAATTATCCTTTTTATACATGATATACCTGTAGAATGCCTTGTTTTATTTCTATTGATGACTTTTAGGTTGGGACAGCTGTTTTTTTTTTTTTTTTTTGGTTTTTTTGAGACAGGGTCTCCCTGTAGCCCCAGCTGTCCTGGAACTCACAGAGATCCGCCTGCCTCTGCCTCCTGAGTGCTGGGATTACAGGCATACGCCACCACACCCTGCTGGGACAGTTTTTTTAAAAAAATAATTTTTTATGTGTGTGCATGTCATTGTATGAATGTGGAGGGCAGAGGACAACTTGTGGGAATTGGTTCTCTTCTTTCACCATGGTGGGTCCCAGGTCATCAGGCTTGGTGTGCAGCACCTTCACCCATTGAGCCATGTGGCCAGCCCAAGAAACTGCTTTTGATGAATGGCATTTTCCCCAACTTAAGATCTTTTGTCTTTCTAACTCACAAAGTAAAATTAACTTTCACATGGTAACTATTATATTTAAATAGCTCTGAAAAAGTTAAACTGCTTTTAAGGCTTGGTTAGTGGGCTCCTGCATTCCTTGATTCCAAGACAGCATTTCCCCAAGGTTGCTGAGATGTTGAGAAATCCTTTAGCTCTGTGAGAAAATCCTTGTACCTTTTCATTGTGACAGGCTGATTATCCTCAAAGTCTGTTTCTATTGCATAATGCATGGTAAATACAAACAATACACACACACACATACACACACACTTTAATTTACCAAGGAAACCAAGGGAAAGATGATGGTGGGACTCTCAAGCATCTTTTTCAGAGGTCAGTAGTCAGCACCTTGCCTAAAGTCCCTGAACTACAGGGTGATTCTGGTAGTAACAGTCATACATTTGAGCAACATTCAAACAAATGGCCATAACTGAAGCTTTTACTTCTTCAAAGCTACACTATAAATGTGATTTATGCAGCACAGTTGTCAAAAAAATATGAGAGGGTTTATAACAGTTGGCCAAAATAAAATATGCTTGACATTTCATACCAATCCTGGCAAAGAGAAGATCTGCAAACAATGGAATCAATTTACTTCAATCAAGCAAAGGGGGGAAATGTAGTAAGGCAGGATAGCACTTAAGTTCCTAGCAGTTTCACAGTAAACTGAAACAGAAGTTCTGAATGAGCAACTGCAGGCAAAATCTGCCCTTAAGTCAAAAGAACCACCTTTTCCCACTAATGAAGATAAGGTACATTTCTTCAATATTTCTCTACTTTATTAAGGTTAACCACCATGGTATTTATGTCTCTAAACATTTCAGTTTTCAGTGATGCTTAATTATTATTTTTTTCCATAATGAGTTAATTGAGGCACATTGGTTTATATTTTAGAGAAAAACAATTATCTCTATGACACAGATAGGAAAGGAAGAGTCTGTAAATGTTACAAAGATGATTCCAAACCTTAGCTAACCTCTTTCCAAACTGTAACCACTCATTAGCCTTTATGAAAAAAGAGATCAACAACTGCTTACATATATCTGTGTGATAGTCTGTAACTTAGAAATCCCCCAAAAGTATATAAGCTGTGACTATTGAAAAGCTCAGAACACTGGCAAGGCGTGATTGTAAAGTATTTAACAGAAGGCCACAAATGTTGTTTTCCTAAGAGGAGCTAGGAACTATAGGTGTCACTTAGTAGTGCATTGAAATGGCATTGCCCAGTGTGAGTGAATGCTGCACAGAAATCAGGTCGCCTCCTCAAAGCAATCATTTTGGATAAGCTTCCACTATCATTGCATGACCCTGTAAAAGAAAAAAAAGTTCAGTTAGACCAATGAAAATTCAGCCAGTATGGAGGCAAGAGAACAGTGTAAAAACAGAATCTTTGAAGTTTGGTCCTGAATCTGCCATTTAGCCACAGTGTAATCATGAGAAAATTAGTAGCCATTCTAAGCTCTAGTTTCCTTTATAAAATGGAGTTTATGATGCCTACTTCAGAAAGTTTTCATAAACATTAAATTAGATACTATACACACATATACATATGGATACATATATGAATCAGACTTAGTCTAATATAGAGTCTGAGTCCTTGTAGATGTTATAAATAGTTGCTTTCATTTTATTTTATTTTATTTTCTGTGGTGCTGAGGAACAAGCCCAGAGCCTCAAGCGTGCTAGGCAAGCAATCTACTACTGGGCCCTCATCCTTAGGTCAAATAGGATTTGAAAAGTGTCTCAATCAAATCACAAAGCTGTTGAGGAAGGCCAAAGATGAAAACAGATCTAATGATTCCAATGCCTGACCTTTGCCATTTTTCACTGTCCTCTGATTAAAGAATGAACTAAGGGGCCATAATGATAAGAAAAAAGACTGTCCCTTCTGTAGCATCCTGCCCAATGCTAGGTTCTAGTTATGATTCAAGTTTAAACCTCCCAAAAACATTTAATGATTTCCTGATAAATACAGTCATCTTAACCTTTGAACTGCCAGCAAACAGCCTAATGAAACTTCCCATTTCTAGGGTCAATTCAATTCCTGCAAATATGTACTTAAAAAGTATTATTTATAAGATACCAAGTTCAACACTCTTGGTTTAAAGATTTGCTACATAGTACCAGGAATGGTGGTGCAGACCTTTAATCCTAGCACTCTGGTGGATCTCTGGTGAGTCTGAAGGCAGACCCTGCCTCCAAAATAAAAGCTACACAGTCTTATTCTTCAATTTAGTACATATATTGTACTTCAAAATAAGAAGTTAACCTTGACATAAGCAAACAAAAGGAGCAGAGAAGGAAAAGTGTGACTGACCGGGAAGTGATCCAAAAGCAGAATATTCCTCCAGCTTTACTTAAAATGTACTATTTTCATGTTATAAAAGGATCTTAGTGGTTTTTAACCAGGAGAGGTTTTTGCCTCCCACTCTTTCCAGAGGACATTTGGCAATGTCTGAAAGTATTTCTGGTTGCTTCAACTGTGTGCACATATATGGGCTATGGTGGGGATGGGGAAGGAGTTATTGCTACTGGAATCTAGTAGGTAGAGGCTATGATAAAGATCCTACAGTGCACAACCCGACGAATTATCTGGCACAAAACAATGCCAAAGCTGAAAAACCCTGCTCTAGATCTCTAGATTCACCATAACAATTTTGTTTTTTAAGGTTTTTTTTTTTTTTTTTTTTTTTGAGATAGGGTTTCCTGTAGCCCCAGCTGGCCTGGAACTATGTAGACTGGGCTGGCCTCAATCTCAGAGATCCACTTGCCTCAGCCTCCCAAGTACTATGATTAAAGGCATGCACCATAAAGAATTTTTACTCTGACTTCCTAATTATGTTGGTATAACTCAGTCACCTCAATGAAATAAAACTAAGTTAAAAAGTTAACAGTCAATGAGGCTGGAGAGATTGCTCAGTGGTTAAGAACACTGGCTCCTCTTGCAGAGGACCTGGGTTCAATTCCCAGCACCCACATGGCAGCTGACAATCATCAGTAACTCCAGTTCCAGGGGATCCAACGCCCTCTTCTGACCTCCATGGGCACTGTACAACAAGGGTGTACTTACATATGTGCAAACAATACACTCATACACATAAAATAAAAATAATACAATATTTTTCAGAAAATTAACAGTCAAGTTTAAAATATAGTTCCTCAGATACATCAACTCCTTACTCCTCCCTATACTATAAACTTTTAGAAAAAAGTACTGACTATTCTTCATTCATCTACAAAAGCATCTTACATGCTAGATAATAAAAAATTACACTCAGGCCAGGTGTGGTGACACACGCCTGTAGTCCCAGCACTTGGGAGGCAGAGGGAGGTGGATCTCTATGAGTTCAAGGCCAGCCTGGTCTACATAGTGAGTTCCAGGACAGCTGGGGCTACAGGGAGACCCTGCTTCAAAAAGATTAAAAAAAAAAATTTACACTCAGATCAAAGGAAGCACGTGTGGACTACAAGCTATATACAATGCCGTATATGAACCATCTCCCTTGTGGGACCGGGCAGAGATAATGGCCAGGGCTCTACCCTAAATGAGCAAGGTTTTCTATAGGAAAGTGACACAAATGAAAAACATTTCTGGGTTAGGGGAATATATCATCTGTAGAGCACCTGCCTAGCATGTGTGAAGCCCTGGGTTCAATCTCCAGCACTACCAAAAAGCTTCTGATCATGAAACAAAAACTGTTTCAACTTATAAATAAATGACCTTTATTTCTTCAAAGTCTCTAAAGAAAAACTGTCTACAAAGACTTAAATGATTCTTTAGAATCACTTTTAGAGGAGATCCAGTACATTCAGGGTCGTATGACTATGACAAAATTTTACACTTTTAAATAGCTTATTTATCTTGATAAGTAACATAAAGTGTCTATAACACAATCGATTCACATCAGAAGTTAAAAAAATAAAGAATACAATCAAATCTTCCTTTTGAATTTTATTTCCAGTGAAACGCTATAGCATATAGGATGTTGGGTCTATAATATGGGTGAGGTAGAGAGGAAAACATTTGTCAGAAAAATAATTTCCGCAGTTGAGCAATTAAGTATCCACAGATAAGTTAATTCCCCAATTAACTTATGATTGAGTTCTCAAAAACAAGTTTACCCCCCACCCCCCTACCCCCAGTGTGGTACTGAGGATTTAACCAAGGGCTTCAAACATGCTAGGCCAGTCTATCACTGAGCTAACAGTTCCAGCGACAACTTTTTGGGGGGAAGGGGCAAGATCTGAGAAAGCGTCTCACTATGTAGCCCTGGTTGGCCTGGAACTCGACTACATAAACCAAGCTGGCCTTGAATTTACAGAGATCTGCCTGTCTCAGCCTCCCCAGTGCTGGGAATACACCACCACACCAGGCCTTGCGAAATTACTATTTTTTTTAAGCTTTTACAATTTGAATTTTAAAGAAAAAGAAATCCTCAGGGTAGGTGAGCTGGTAATCTTGGCAGCTGCCTCAAGGAGGTAAACAATAGGAAGAAAGAAAGAAAGCCATAGAGCCTGCCTGGGAGGTCAGACACATGGCTGACTGGCAACCACATGGCTGGGAGAAGGAAGCTTTAGAGAAAAAGCAAAGAAATACAAGATGCTAGGGGCAGCCCAAAGTCTTAAAGAAAGCATGTTTAGTAAGAAAGGGAAAGGCATGAAGAAGTAAAAGGGAAATTATGCTTTCCTGAAGAATTCAGTGAAGTGGGCAACTCACAGACTACATGGCTATAGCTAGGCAGTTCTGCACCCATAGGCAGGATTCCAGGCAGGAAAAACTCGCTATCTCATTAATGTACCAGGTATTCTGCCTGTGAACATCATTTTAAAGGGCAAAAATAACAGATTTAAACAGCACCTTCCTTTCAATGTATTATCAGAATAAAAGTCTTACTCCTCCGTCTCCCAAAAGTAAACTGTTTTTTTTTTTCTGTTGTCTGACATCAGAAATACTGCTTTCTGAATACTTCAAACAAAACAAAACAAACATTCTTGGGATGCAGGAGGCCCTGATGATGCTTCTGTGACATACCTGCCCTCCAGCTGCACAGGCAGCCACTAAGGCATACTGGCCTCCATCCTTACGCAATCTGTTGGCAGCTGCCATGACCAACCGGCAGCCAGTGGCTCCAAAAGGGTGCCCCAGAGACAGCGATCCACCCCAGACATTAAATTTCTCCAGAGGAGGTGATCCAACCTGATTTAAACAAAAATAAAGACTGAAGTAAAGGCAATTTTATTTAAGATGAATCAAATCAGGCTTTTCATAATGGAAATAAACAAGAGAGGAAAATAACTAACATTAGACATATTACAAGTAAGTATAGTGCATCTGAATGCAAAGAGCAAAGAACAGTATAAAATTTACTATTTTCAGAAAGAATTTTCAGGAATTATTTTTTAAATATTTTATTAGTTTTATGTGTATGAGTGTATTGCCTGCATGTATGTAAGTGCACCCATGCCATGCAAATGCCCACGGAAGTGAGAAGAGGGTGTTGTGTTGGATCCCCTGGAACTGAAGTTATGGACAGTTGTTAGCCACCATGTGAGTGCTAGGAATTGAACCTGGGTCCTCTGCAAGAGCAGTCAGTACTCTTAACCATTGAGCCATCTCACCAGATCCCAGGAATTTTTTTTTTTTTTTTGGTCTTTTTGAGACAGGGTCTCCCTGTAGCCCCAGCTGGCCTGGAACTCACTATGTAGACCAGGCTGGCCTTGAACTCACAGAGATCCGCCTGCCTCTGCCTCCTGAGTGCTGGGATTAAAGGCATGCGCCACCACACTCGGCTCCCAGGAATTATTTTTAAATTAAGAAATAAACTGAAAGCTAGGCATGGTGGTGCATACCGTTAGTCCCAGCACTCAAGGCAGGCTCTGTGAGATGAAGGCCAGCCTGGGCTAAACAGTGAGTTCCAGGCCAGCTGGGGCTACAGAGAGACCCTATCTCAAAAAACCAAAAAAATGGGGGCTTGTGGAGGACCCGGGTTTGATTCCCAGCACCCACATGGTGGCTAACAACTGTATTTAACTCCAATTCCAGGGAATCCGATGCCCTCTTCTGACTTCTTTGGACATTGCACAACACAGGTGCACTTACATGTATGCAGGCAATATACTCATACACATAAAATAAAAATAATAAATAAAATATTCTTTAAAATAAAACAAAAAAAACAAATAAGAAATAAACTGAGCTGAGGCTGTACATCAGTGAAAGAGCACTTGCCTCGCAAACATGAGACTCTAAGTTCAACCAAGTACACATCAGAAAAAAAGTAGAGAATAAGCTTTTCCTCTTTATAGTCTTATTAACTGGAACTATGTTCAAAATATTAATGTGCCTTGGAAATTCAAGCATTATTATTTTTCAGAAACTTACCTTGATTTTCCTACCCATGTAGTTTTGCGCAAACCAATCAGAATCCATGGCTTTAAAGTTAGCCAAAATTTGACCCTAGGAGAGACAATAATTCAAGACTGTTATTAATACTCCTCTGGGCTTTGTTTAAGGCATGATTTATGTAACTTTAAAGTTAAGCAAATCTTTACATCAGTTTTTAGTGAAAATGTCCTAAAGAAGAAATAACTTACAATGGGCTGCCAAAAAATAGCCTCCAAAGCTATATTTTCAACACATAGGTGTAGCCCCTGATTCTCTAACCTAGGCCTCCACACAATGAAGTTCAGTATCTAAAAGCCCCAATCCCCATCAACACAGCCACATATGTATTTTCAATGACTACACTCCCTTCAGGTTTGTCTAGTAAATGACTTACTGAGAAGGCTTCATGAAATTCAAAAGCATCAATATCATTCATGGTTAATCCTGCCTTTTCTAGAACTTTTGGAGTAGCATATGTTGGTCTGAAAAAAGAAAAGTAGTAGTATCTTAAAATTTTAAATTTTAACCAAAGCATTTCTTGATATTCTCCAAACTAAGTTTTCTACTTATTCATTTATTTTACTATACAAATACTAATTAATTATTGGGGATACAACAGGAGCTGAAAAGACATGCCCTCTGTCCTCACTGTACTGTAGAACTGGAGAATAGATAAACAAGCAAACAATGAGGGACAAAGACAATGTAAAGAGAAAAGGAACAGAATTCAAAAGGGCAAAGGCATGGGAAAGGGCTCAGCTATCTCAAGGTCTCATAATGGAGCAAGTGAAGGAAGGAGCGAGAATCTAAATATCAGAAGGCTTTTATGAAAGCAAGAAATGCTGTTAAGATTGTGTAGGCTAGGGATGGAGCTCAGTGGTAGAGTGTTTGTCTAGTATATGGGGTTCAATACCCAGGAACAACAAGAGGAAGAGGAAGAGGAAAAAGAAGAGGAAGGAAAGGAAGAGAAAGGAGGAGGTGATGATTATATAGCACAGTGGGTAATAATATGGGAAAAAACGCTTACTACATTTTAATACGAAATTATATACGTATAACAATTAAGAGTAAAGAAATTGTGAGAAAAATGTAAAATAATCCAAAACTGTAAAATGATTCAAAGAATTTAATGTAAAAAAAAAGGGATTGTTATTACAATTTTTTTTTGAGACAGGGTGTCACTATGCAGCCCTGACAACTTGAAACTCTCTAAGATAAACCAGATTGGCCTCAAACTCAAAGAGATCTGCTTATGTCTGCCTCCTGAGTGCTGGGATTACAGCTGTGCAACACATGCCCAGCTACGTTTTTTTGTTGTTGTTGGTGGTGGTGGTGGTGGTTTTTTTTAGTATTTTATTTATTATTTTTATTTTATGTGTATGAGTGTATTGCCTGCATGCATGTGAGTACACCCATGTTGTGCAATACTGCAGAGGTCAGAAGAGGGCATTGAATTCCCCTGGAACTGGAGTTAATGACGGTTCATAGCCGCCATGTGGATACTGGGAATTGAACCCGGGTCCTTTGCAAGAGCAGTCAGGGCTCTTAACCGCTGAGCCATCTCTCCAGGCCCCCAGCTACATTTTTTTAACCATCACATAAACCAACTCAGTGCTTAACATACTTTCAAATTTGTACAAATATTGTGGGAAATCAAATACTTTTGATTGAAGGCCAGTAAGATGGCTCAGTAGGACCTGAGTTTAATCTCTGGGACCACATGGTAAAAGGAGAGAACAACCTACGTTGTACTCTGACCTGCACACCCATCCCATTGAGACACCATTACACATGTGTGCACACACACACACATACAGATAAATAAATAAATATAATAAAAAATTCAAACACTTTTAGCTGAAATCTAGTGATTTTACACTGCTACCTACCCGAGTAAAAGCTGATCTTTTGGATCCTGGGACACATATATAAAATCCCTAGGCAAAAAACAGAGGGGTTAGCTCCAGTAATAAAGAAATCACACAGGCAATTCACCAGACTATTTACTTTACCTCAGATATGCCTTTGGTTTATAACCCATGGCCAGAGCTTTGTCTTCTGACATAATCAGCATTGCAGAAGCACCATCAGTCTGAAATGGTAACAGAACAATGATGTTAAATTTGCTAATCTATCTGGAGGTGTCCTTGTAGCCAGCTCCTAAGTCTGTTCATGAGTCCGCTAACATACATACACAGAGATTCTATATAACAAACTCACTTTACTATAGCCATCATTAAATCACAATTCAACATACATTGAGCCACTTTTGGTTGTAGGGACTGTTCAAAAAGTACCATAACATCAAAATACAATACACGAAGAGGTAACTTTAGAAATATGTATCCATAATAGATTTAAGCCTAAGGTTTTTGCTTCTGGCATAGAAAATGAAACATTTTATGAATTAACACAATCTCTTATTTATTTTTCACATTTTCTGTGTTGTTTCTGTTGCTTCCTGTCCATGGCTTTTGGGTGATTTTACCCGACAGGTAAACCACTGGGAGAAGAACAGGTAGGTAAATGAGAACATCAGGACCATGGCTTGGCTTGACAACACTTTGAACACACCTCAAATGTTTTTATCCCAAATAATAATCAAGAAATTGCAAGATAGGGGTATTTCTGTTTTTTTAAGTCCTTTCTATTACTTCCAACAAAATAACTTCCTCCATGATTCCAAAGAAAGGAAACTATTCCATACAGCATACAAAATCAAAACAAGTTTTATCACATTCTATCATACATTTTTGCAACTTAGCAAATCTGAAAAGAGTATGCAGCCACCAGCAGGGTAGCCATCAGGTCTAGGAACAGGTGACTGTACATAAAAAATGGTTTATAGATATTACATTAGTAGTATGTTCAAAGCTGGGTGTGGTGGCTCATGCCTATAATTCAAGCAGTTACACTGTAAAAGAAACATTGAGCTGATAGACTGTATCTTAGAGACAAGACCCAAGATAATGAAAAAGAGAAACCACATCATAAAGCATGGGCAGAATCAATATACATAAATACATGTCTCTGCAGAGACCAGAGGCATCAGATCACCCTGGAGCTGGAATTACAGGTGGTTGTAAGCCTCTTGAGATGAGTGCTGAGAATCGAACCCTGGTTCTCTGCAAAAGTAGTATACACCCTTAAACAGTGAGCCATCTCTCCAGTCCCCAGCTTGATTTTTCACTAAAAAAAAAAAAAAGGTTCTCACACGACATGGGTACACTTTTACATAAATGCAGATATATCATTCACACACATAAGCAAAAATAATTTAAAATTTTTTCTTAAAACATTTCTTAAAAACATTTTCTTTGGGCTAGAGAGATGGCTCAGTGGTTAAGAGCACTGGCTGCTCTTGCAGAGGACCCGGGTTCAGTTCCCAGTACCCACATGATGGTTAACTACTGTCTGTAATTCCAGTTCCAGGGAATCTGATACCCTCTTCTGACCTCTGCAGGCATTGCACAACATGGGTGCACTTACATACATGCAGGCAATACACTCATATACATAAAATAAAAATAATAAATTAAAAAAAATATATAACGCATTTTCTTTACAATAAATAGAGTTTTATTTTTAAGCCTCTAAATCACACACACATAAATCTGTTTTAGGCTCTCTTTAAGCCTCTGCCTCCCGAGTGCTGGGATTAAGGGAGTATGCCACAATGCCTGATCTTCTTTTTAAATATCTAAAAAAATTTTTATGTGCATGAATGTTTGCCTACATGTATGTATGTGCACCGTGTGTGTACCTAGTGTCTGAAGGTCAGATGAGTTAGATCTCCTGGAACTGAAGTAACAGGCAGCTGTGATTCATCATGGGGGCTGGGAATTGAACCTAGGTCCTCTTCAAGAGCAGCAAATGCTCTTAACCACTGTGCCACATCTCATCCATTTTATTTGGGCTTTTCTATTCAGAGTATAGAAATATAAATGACACTATTAAACATAAATAGCATAGACAGTTACCAGGAAAGAAGAATTTGCAGCTGTCACTGTGCCATAGGGTTTGATGAATGCAGGTTTTAGTTTGGCCATCTGCTCCAGTGAGGAAGGTCGGATGCCATTATCTTTGGTGACTGTGTCCTTTCCTATAAAAACACCAACTTTTTAACTCTGAGGAATTGTAAAATGTTATATAGCTTCTCCAGAGAAATGTGCTTTTAAAATAAAGGAACAGGGGCTGGAGAGATGGCTCAGCGGTTAAGAACACTGGTTGTTCTTGCAGAAGACCAGGGTTCAAATACCAACACCTATATGGCAGCTAACAACTCTCCATAACTCCAGTTCCAGGGAATCTGACAGTGTCTTCTGTTCTCTGCAGGCGTTGCACCACACAGGTGCACTCACCTACATGCAGACAATACACGCATACACATAAAATAAAAATAATAAATAAAATATATTTATAAAATAAAGGAACAAAATGAAATGTAAATCGTATCTATCAACTTCAAAAGAAGACTTTTTAAATTTTTTCCAGTGCTAGAAATCAAACCAACTCAGGACTTTCAGTGTCCCAGACAAGATCTACCCCTGAGCTATATATATCCTATCCCCCACAAAGCCTTTGTAGGTATCAAGACAGTATCAAATTTTATTTTATTTAGTCAATAAGACAGGGTTTCTCTTTGTAACTTAGACTGGCCTCATATACAAGATCCTTATTCCTCACCCTCCTGAGTGCTGAGATCACAGGCATGCACCACCACACATAACTCATGATCAAAATTTTTTAAAGTATTTTATTTTTTATTTTTATTTTATGTGTAGTATATTGCCTGCATGTAGGTAAATGCACCTGTGTAATGCAATGCCCGCAGAGGACAGAAGAGGCTGTTGGATCCCCTGGAGCTGGAATTACAGACAGTTGTTAGCTGTCATGTGGGTGCTGGGATTCGAACCCCGGTCTTCTGTAAGAACAACCAATGTTCTTAACCACTGAGCCATCTCTCCAGCCCCGATCAAATTTTAAACAAAGCTCTTAAGATATACAGGGAAGATAGGAAGTCATATAAATAGTCAAAAAAAGAAAGAAGGACGGAAGGAAGGAAGGAAGGAAGGAAGGAAGGAAGGAAGGAAGGAAGGAAGGAAGGATGCCATGTCAGGCATATCTAGTACTTTGGAGGCCAAAGCAGAAAGACTTGTGAGTTTGAAGTCATTTTGGTCTATATACCAAGTACCAGACAGCAGGACTACAGAGTTCTCAGAAGAACAAAATAAAAAACACTATCTTATTTTCTTAAGATATTCATTCAAATTTAGCTATCTATACAGAAGTCATATGAATCTGGGATTTAAAATAAGCATGAGAGCTGGGCATGATGGGGTACACCTTTAATCAAGAGGCAGAGGCAGGTGGATGGATTGCTGTGAGATCTAGGCCAGCCTGGTTTACATAGCACGTTCCAGGTCCTGGGTCCGACAGGGAGACCCTGTCTCAAAAAAACAAAAAATGAAAAACAAAAAGTCTTCCTCAATTTCTTTCTTCAAAGATTTAAAGTTTTCATTTAAAGTTTAATGTCTTTGATTAGTTGTTTTTTTTTTTTTTTCTTTTTCAAAATTGGCTGTAAATTTTTTAGGTTTACAGTTGAATTGTTACAGTTATACAATACTGAATTCAGTATTGTATAACTGTAACAATTCAACTGTAAACCTAAAAAATTTACAGCCAATTTTGAAAAAGAAAAAAAAAAAAAAACAACTAATCAAAGACATTAAACTTTAAAAGAAAAACTTAAATTTTTTAAGAAAGAAATTGAGGAAGACTTTTTTTTTTTTATTTTTTTTTTTGAGGCTACTGTGAATGGGAGTGTTTTCATGATTTCTTTCTCTGACTACTTGTTATTGGTATGTAGAAAAGCTGGTGTCTTTTATAAATTGATTTTATATCTAGCCACTTTGCTGAAAGTGTTGATCATTTTCTGGTAGAATTTTTAGGATCTCTTGTATTATCATATCATCTACAAATAGAGATAATTTGATCTCTTCTTTTCCAATTAGTGCCCCCTTAATTTCCTTCTCTTGTCTTATTGCTCAAGCTAGGGTTTCAAGCATTATATTGCAAAGGTGTGGGGAGAGGGGGCAGCCTTGTCTGGTTCCCAATTTTAAGGGAAATGCCTCAAGGTTTTCTCCATTTAGAATTATGTTGGCTGTGTGTTTGTTGTATATAGCCTTAATTATGTTGAGGCATAGAGAAAGAATGGCTTTCATAGTATCAGAAAATACTACTGCCAAGGGAGAAAACCAATCAGTAGCTCTATTCAGTTGTAAAGTCCATGAACCACTACAATAACCAGCCCAGCAACTAATCTCTATTGGTGTAGTAGTGGCATTTTCACCTTGGGGGAAATCATCAGCTGTCTAATTGAACTTAAGGTCCCCATCAAGGGAGGTAACTCATGTGTTTAATCCCAGCACTCAGGAGGCAGAGGCAGGTGGATCTCTGTGAGTTCAAGGCCAGCCTGGTCTACATAGCGAGTTCCAGGACAGCTGGGGCTACAGGGAGACCCTGTCTCAAAAAAAGACCAAAAAAAAAAAAAAAGCTACCATACCTGACTCTAAAGACATATCTTTATATTTACAGACAAGTACCTCTCATGTCTCATCAAAGAAGCTTCTTTTTGCAACAGATGGAGACTATTATGAAGTTCCACAACTGATCAAATGTAGACAATACCTATCTGTGAGGTACCCTGTCCTAAGTGATGTATCTACAACATAACCTCTATACCCAAGGCTCAGGGAACATTGCTGAAGAGAGAACAGAAAGAATCTAAAAGCCAGAGGGTCAAGATACCTGCTGCTGGGGCTAGAAAGATGGCTCAGCACTGACTGCTCTTGCAGAGGACTGGCATTTGGATTCCAGCACCCACATGGAGGCTAAAAATCATTCATAATTCCAGTTCCAGGAGATCAAACACCCTCTTCTGGTCTCTGCAGGCATCGCATGCATATGGTGTACTTACATATATGCAGGCAGAACACTCATACACATAAAATAAAAACAAACTAATCAAAAGAATTTTTTAAAAAAGATGTCTGCTGCAACTTAAGGCATTCTGGACATGATAGTGAAGCTACACCAATGAAATCTCTACAGTGTGGTAGTCTAATAAGATCTAGCTCCTTGAGAGGTTATCTAACTCCAAGTTGTCCTAAACACAGGTACACAGGAGCACCACTGAATGGATTCAGTGTATTTTATATCTATTGATCTCTCTGTCTATTTAAATGTATATATAACAATAATAATCAAGGAAATGGACAGGAAATTGAAAGGGAGTGGAGGGACATGGAAGGAGTTGGGAGAGGGACTGGGAGGGATAGAAATGATGCAAAGACTACACTCATCTATGATGTTTATTTAAAAAAAAAATTTTTTTTTTTTGAAGCAGGGTCTCCCTGTAGCCCCAGCTGTCCTGGAACTCATTATGTAGACCAAGCTGGCCTTGAACTCACAGAGATCTGCCTGCCTCTGCCTCCCAAGTGCTGGGATTAAAGGCGTGAGCCACCACGCTGGTAAAAAAAATTTTTTTAAATACAATCAGTCAAAAAGGCATGAGCCAGGCACAGTGGCTGAACCATGCCTGTAATCCCAGCACTTAGGAGGCTGAGGCAGAAGGACTGCCACAATAGGCTAGTCAAAGCTACATATCAAAATCCTTCAAAAACAAACAAGGCCTTAGGATGGCTCAGTAGGTAAAGGCAACCTTCTATCAAGCCTGATGACCTGCATTTGATCTCTGGGAATCATATGGTAGAAGGAAAGAACTGACTCCTATAAGTTGTCCTCTGATTTCCACATATATGCTGTGGCGTGCACACATGCACATACACACACACACATACACACACACACGTAACTTAAAAAAATTAAACAGGTTAGGGCTGGAGAGATGGCTCAGCAGTTAAGAGCACTGACTACTCTTGCAGAGGACCCGGGGTTCAATTCCCAGCACCCACATGACAGCTACGAACTGTCCTTAACTCCAGTTCCAGGGGAATCCTAAGCCCTCTTCTGACCTCTGCAGCATTGCATGACATGGATGCATTCACATAAACGCAGGCAATACACTCATACACATAAAATAAAAATAATAAATAAAAATATTATTAAAAAATTTAAACAGGTTGAGTATGATGGCACATACCTTTAATCCCACCACTCAGGAGGCAGAGGCAGGTGAATCTATCTGTGTGAGATTGAGGCCAGCCTGGTTTACATAACTAGTTCCAGGTCAGCTGGGGCTACAGAGAGACCCTGTCTCAAAAAACAAAAACAAACAAACAAACAAAAAAAACCATCAACAACAAAAACAAAACCCTCTTTAAAAGTTTACCTGTGTTACAACAGAAATCTAAACTTCAGTCCATGTTTACAAATAAAGGCTGGGTATTTTATAAATAATCATTACACTTATTAAAAAGTCATTTAAGATTTTTAAATTTTGGGAACAAATGAAGCAATTCAGAACACCCCAATAAGTATCTTTGGTACCTGGTACTTTGAAGGGTACAATATCGGAAAGGTGACCTTCATCCTGGGCCTTTTTGGCCAAACTGTGAGAGCGTAGTGCATATTCATCCTGTTCCAGTCGAGAAACAGCAAAGGCAGCAGCTAGTCGGTCTGCAGAGTGGCCCATGGTCTCATTAGTAGAGAACTCAGCCACTGCAGGGAGCTAGGAAAGGAGACAGCAAGGAACAGGTATACTCATAAGAGGTGTAGGGTTGTTTGGTGCTATTTAGAAAAGTTGAAATCTACTTATTAGCTGGGTACAGTGACACATGCCTGTAATCCTAGCACTCCGGAGGTTGAGGCAGAAAGATTTTTAGTTTGAGCCCAGCTTAGCCTATATAGTAAGACCACAGCTCAAAAAAAATAAAGAAAAATTGTTTACTTCTATCAACACAGAAACAAGGAAAGCTCTTTGTGAGCAAACCCATCTCTAAAGAGGGCTCACAAATTCAATTTTTATAAGCACTATTTCCTCCCCATCTTAGCCAAATAATTACCCTGCACTGTAATCAAAATAACTTACAATTTTTGGAAAATATTTTATGCCTATGACAACTGTGTTATTTCTCATATAATTTATGGTTCATGATACTCTAGAAACTCAAGTCTTTACACAAAGTTGACAAGTCTTACCTCAGGTGATAGAAAATTCAATCTGAATTGAGAGAGTAAGGACAGTCGCTGGCCCAGACTCTTGGCTTTATTGAGATCAAGCATCATTTTTCTCATTTTCCTTGAATGACGAATAGGAACATCGGACATTAACTCAACACCCCCAGCCACAACCACATCACACTGGCCAGAAGCAATCAGGCCAGCAGCTGCAGAGTAAAAAAATATATGTATATGAACATCTTTATAGAAAATAAATCAACGAAATGTAAGCTTCTTGATTACAAATCTCTGTAACAAGGGGCTGGTAAGATGGCTCAGCAGGTGAAGGTGCTTGCTGCCAAGCCTGATGATCTGAGTTCAACCTCTAGAGCCCATGTGGTAGAAGAAAGAACCAACTCATATGAGTTGTTCTTTGATCTCCACATATACATCATGGCACGAACACACACATACGCACAAATAAATGCCAAAAAAAAAGGAACAGTTATCATCAGCTTTGTATTACAGTAATTAGTTTTCAACTTTTCTTTTTTAAAAAAATATTTTATTATTTTTGTTTTAGTGTATTCTAAATCTGATCTTACCTATTTTGTGTGTGCTCAGCTTTAGTTTACTGAAAGGTGCCCCGCCCCCTCCCCCCAAGAATACTAATTTCTACTACATAAAATATCTGATCTCTAAGATGTAAGGAAGCTGGTTTCTCTCTTTATGGCTACCTGCAATTAATTCTGTTGTTTTTGATAAAAACCAGAAGTTCCCTGACCTAACCCCACTGTTATTAGCCATATACCTATCTCAGGCCTGACTGAATGCCAGAGATACAGTAAGCCAGACAACCTTCTTCTCTTGCCAGGATGTCTCTCTGCTGTCCTTGTGCCCCAGTTATCAGCTAGCCATTCAAAGAGCCACAGACAAGCTAAACAGCTTCTTTGTTCTACAACTCCAGGAAAAGGGCCCCAGTGCCTTTATTGTTTCCAGTAACATAAAATTCACTTACTTCTGTTAAGATTATTTTAAAAACATCATATAGAGGCAAAGGAGGAAAATCAGCATGCACCTTCAGCTTCCATTTAAACATACCTGTGGTCATGGCTTGGTTTGAAGAGATGCAAGCCATGGTGACAGTGTGAGCAGGAGTCTTGTCAGAGAAGCCAGCTCCTAGTGCAGCCTTCAGGAACAGTGAAGGAAAGGAAATACACATGTGAGTGATGCTCTGAGCATGACTTCCCTGCCTGGTGGATCAGGAAAGGGGTTTAATAATCCACAGAGCAATGTTTAAAATAAAATTAAGCCCATTACAAAGATGGTTTACTAATTTTTCATCTAGCCACTGACAGGTGCTATGCTAAATTCTTGGTAGTCAGTTTCTTTTTTTAGTTATTGTGTTATTTATTTATTTACTTATTTATTTGTGTGTATGTATCTGTGTGGGTACATGTAAGCAAGGGCAGGCATATGGAAGTCAAGAGGACAGCTGTCAGGAACTGGTTCTTCTCCCATCATGTGGGTTCCAGTGACTGAACTCAGGTCATCAGGCTTTTGGCAAGTGCCTTTACCAGCTAAGCCAATTTGCTGCTGTTGTATAGCAATTTCCTGAGATGAAACCTTCCATCTTGGAAGGAAGCTTGTTAAGACAGACCGTTCTAAGGGGAGGTGAAACATTCCATCCTGCCGGGAAGCTCCTTAAGCTGAGGAAGTAAGCAACTCAAAGGCTTCAGAAGTCCCTGCAACTGACCTAACCAGATTCACTAGATCCTTCCTTCTCAAGCTTACATAAGCAGTAAGGACCTCTGAGAGCCACTCTCACATAAGCTGAGGTGCCTGGAAAAAGCAGAGCAGCCAAGCTGCCTGAAAGAGACATCCTTTAACCCACCGAGTTGCCTGCAAGTTGCGCAGTAAATTCCAGTTTTCCAGCTTTTATGGAACTGTCACCCATGCTGGAGTAGGCTTTTGGTGATTCAGCTGTCTTTGAGTCAGTTGTGTTCCTACAAGTCACCTTTACCTATACTCCTCTAACACGGATCAAATTCATTGTTCACCAGTTGGATGTGGTGATATCCAATGGTCAGCCATTGGTTACCTCTGAGGTGAATAGACATTTGTTCATGTCTCATTAAGAACAGTGTCACACAACATCGGCCCTCTTTCTTTTTGTAGTACTGGGGCTGAACCCAGAACATCCCACATCCTAGGTGAACACTCTTACTCCTGAGCTATATCCCTAAGGCTTTTTATTCTGAAACAGGATTTTGCAAAGTGGCCTTGAATTTACTATGCAGCCTAGATAGGCCATGAACTTGCATTCCTCCTGCCTCTGCCTTCCCAATGCCTGGGACTACATGCAGGTATGAAGCTAGGGACTACCAAATCCAGCACCTTCATAGTTGCTTCTAAGTGTGGTATACAAGGCTACAATATTCTTTTACTGCACCTAGTTTTTTTAACAATGCTTTGCTTGAAGCCTTCAAGAACATTAATTTTAATTTGCTTAAATTTTCATATACAATTGGAAGAATGATAAAATATATCATGGGGTAGGTTTTCATGGCATTTCCCTGCAGTTATAAAACCGACCAACAAAAAGCAAAGCATGAAAATATTTCTAAAGCATCATTAAAAACAAAATAATGGGGGGGACCCTAACATTTATTCACAGAGTTCGTTCCCACACTGTTGACCCAAGACAAAATAGAAACTTTGCATAATGGTCATAGTGAGCCTCTGATGAATAAGGGTCAGAGCGGCATAGAACTGGAACAGAGAAACTGGAAGTGACTCAAAACATTATAGTGGGTTTTTTTTTTCTTTGTCTTTTTGAGACAGGGTCTCCCTTTAGCCCCAGCTGACCTGGAACTTGCTATGTAGACCAGGCTAGCCTGCCTCCCACGTGCCGGGATTAAAGGCGTGTTCCACTACGCCCAGCAAAACATTATAGTTTTAAAAGCTTTGAGAAAAATTGAAGGCCTCTTAATTAACAAAAATGGCCTCTAATTTCGTGACATAGTAAAAATCAAACATGAAATGTGGGCATCTATGTGGCACTTATTATTACACCAACATCATAATCACCTCAACAAATAGACTGACTCTTAAATTAGGTTTTTAAGAGTGGGCCCAAACTTGGAGTATACTAGTTCCCATAGTGATCTATTAGAACCCTCTGTCTCCCGTGCACCAATGGATCTCTCGTCACCTCAACCTTTGTGGATGGAGCTGTCTATTTCCTTACCTTTGGCCAATGGAACTGTGTCCCCAGTCAGGCCACACCCATAATTTATTCAAAACGGCTTCTTCAGCTTCATTAGGGAAGTAAAGTTCAAGCTAATCTTCACAGACTAGGGCTTCTTCATCCCTATATCTCATTCACCCAAGGTCAACTGTCCTTTCCCAAACTCCATTGTCCAATAGGTAGGTGCACTGCTTGCAGCATTTGATATGTCAATTCTCAAGCATACTCACATTCATTCATTATCTTTTGGGGTGGAGTACCAAACTGAGGTTGCCAAGGAGATTCCAGGTCATCAGACCCAAGAGCACATGGTTTTGCTAGGGTTAATTATAAGTTATTAGTCCAGATTATATCTATTAATGTCATTCCCACACTTCTATAGTTGTTTTATACTATTTGTTAAAATTATTTTGCCAAAATGTTCCATTTTTGCTAATGTAAGGAATTAGTTCATATGTACAATTAGAAAAAAGGTTTTTTGGTTTTAGTTTTGTTTTTGAGACAGAGTCTCCCTGCAACCCTGGCTAGACTGGGACATGCCAAGAAGACCAGGCATCTTGATTGTGCAGAGATCCTCCTACCTCAGCAGGGATTAAAGGCCTGTGCCACCACTCCCAGGGAAGAAAAAAATGTTTTAAATATCAAAGCTTCACTTTAAAAACAAGGCACTAGCTCCTCATGCAGAGGATAGAAGTTCAGTTCCCAGGATCCACATGGCACCTAACAACCATTTCAAAATCCAGTTCCAGGGTATCTGGTACCATCTACTGGACTGTGCAGGTATTACATGCACAGGCACACATACACATGCAGGCAAAACACACACATAATAAATGTTTTAAAAATAGCAATAATAGGAGCTGGAGAGTGGCTCAGCAGTTAAAAGCACTGGCTGCTCTTACAGAGGACTAGAGTTCAATTCCTAGCACCCACATGGCAGCTACAACTCTCTGAAACTCTAGTTCCAGGGGATCCGATGCCCTCTTCTGACCTCCGTGGGCATATTGTATAACCGAGGTGCACTTACATACATAAAATAAAAATAATAAATATTAAAAAAAACAAAAACAATACCTGGGTGTGGTGGCACTCAATTTTAGTCCCAGCACTTGGGAGGCAGAGGCAGGTGGATCTCTGTGAGTTCAAGGCCAGCTTGGTCTCCATAGTGAATCTAGGACAGCAGTGGCTACAGGGAGACCCTATGTCAAAAAGACCAATCAATCCAATCAATCAATCAATCAATCAATCAATCAATCAATCAATCAATCAATCGGCTCCAGGTCTGGGGAAGTGATTCAAATCATGGATCTCTAGATTCAATCCTTAGCATTGCCAAAAAAATTTAAAAGGTTCACAATTGCTCCCCACCTTTTATATGAAATTTGGAATCCTAATGCAAGGAATTTATTTTTAAGTGGTCTTTTTCTGAAATTTAATTATCCTCAGAATACAAATTCTCCTATTCAGTGAAATAAATGTTACAAAGTCTGGATTAAAGAGGTTCCATGTCTGCTAACTGATTTTTACTTTTTACTTCAGCTATACCTTTGATACAAAATGTACCTAGATACAAAAATGTGTTATAGTGTACACATCAACATGACTTTATTCTCCTGTTTCCAGGTAGGACTGATACTAAGCACCCAAAGGACTTTGTTAAAAACTATTGCATGGCAACTGCATGGCAACTCAACCAAAACCAGTTGGAAAGGAAGCCAGAAGCAGGTGTTCTAGGACAAAAGACCTTCACAGTGGGGCAAATGTAAAGGCACTCACTCATTTGGAACAGCCTGATCCTCATGAGGCCACTCTAGCACATAATACCCTTGGCCCTAGCTGACCCATGGGACTAAAGGAGCTTTAAATAGAAGCAATAGCTGGTGACCCTTGACCATATCTATTTAAAATCTGAATCATTTTCAAGGCACCAAGAAGAAAGAAAGATGTTAGAAGAGAGGGAAATACGTTGAGGTCTTTCAGCAAAGAGTTTATAGGGGCACCAGAAGCTTTTAGGATTTCATATTAATATTAGCACAGGCCCTAAAGAAACTATTTAGTTAGGTTTGGTTAGATTCTAAGTTCTACACTCATTTTCAGAAATATCCTTTCAACTCCATCTTCCCTGTAGCCACTACAAATATTACCTGGTGAACAGGGTAAGGGTGGAGAAACTAACTCATGTCATAGGATATGAACAGATGTAAAACGTCCAGAAAATTAATAGGAAAGCATCATGGTTTTGGCTTGAGGAAAGAAAAAAATAGGAATACAAAAAAACTGAAACAGATTTAGCATTTA